GGTATATTTGAGCAAATTTAATTTTTTTTTTCTGTTAATTTGGGGGGGGTGGGAAATGGGAATTTGGGGAGATGGCTGCAGATTTAAAGTCAGTACACCCCCCATTTTGGTGTTCTAAATTTGTCCCGGGTTGATTTGGGGAAAAATGTAGAGCCATGGTTATTAGCTGAGAAGTGTTCTCCTCATAAAAAAAATAAGGGAAGTTCAATGGGGGCCCGGGATGTCACAGTTTTAAACTGTTAAATGTTGGGGAAAGGGGATATTAAAGGGAACCCTTATAGCCCCAGTTGGAAAAGGTTTCCCGGAATGGTACCCAAAAGGTGTCCATGCAACCCTTTAAAAGGGTTTGACCCCAAAAACTTCGACTCACATTTAAATTTGGGGCCCAAGCCCTTATAAAAGGGGGAAAAATCACTATTCATTTTCATCAATTTTTTAAGGGTGATTTTTTCAATAAAGTGGGGCCCTATGTTCATTTTTAAAAGTGCGGTTTCACAAAATTTAATTTAAGAAAAAAAATTTTTAAAGGGTAGACCCTGCAGTATTTGTATTAAAGGGGGTTTTCGGGGTTCATACGGTGTCCCGGGGTATTGGTGGGGCAGTATCTTGGGGTCTTTTTTTTTGATGACTCGGGATGGGCCCTTTTAAGGGATAAACTTTTAAAATTTAAAATTTATAATCCCCAAGGGGTTTTTTCCTCCACGGGGTTGTAACCCGGGAAAAAATATATTTTCCTCTTAACATTTAAAAAAACCCAATGTGAAATTTGGGACTTGGAAAGATTCATACTATATCACCTATTCCACAGGGACTGTGATGGTACTTAAACGATGGTATAAAGTCCTAATTCACAATTGTACCCTTATTCAAGGACAAATTTCAATAAAGCGCTGCAGGGATTATGTCATGGTTCCAAACTGTCCACTATTTTGATAGTTCAGTTGGTTGAGCTGCCGAATGGTTCCGAGGGTCCGGTGTTCATGTCTTTGTAAGGCAGCATATTTTTTAAACTTGTGACAGTAAACATAAAAAAGATAGGTACTAGGCATTTAATGTTGCTTAATAATAATATAGCATATTAATACATATGCGCATGTCAAAAAATTTCAATTTTTAAGTGATATGAAGAATATTTTCTGTTGCGCTGTCTTTGTAAATCTAAATAAATTTACATTTTACACATGATTCAGTCACAAATTCTTGGGAGTCCCACACTTGACTGACCTTCCCATCTTGCACTAATGGAGGTGCATGAGGTTGACCGGTTTCCTTATTTTCCTCATTTTTTCCCTCTCGATTACAGTTTCAGACCCTAAATAAAAGTGCATTCTTAATATGTATATATACTCGTATATTGTAATGCCCTAGAAATTTTACCTTTCTTGTGATTTCACTGGATTTCAGTATTGTTAATTTCTACTTTCACTTTCGTTTAGGGAAGCTTTCACTGGCGACAACGCAGTAAAATCATGCGGTGTCCCAATGAAACATACAGGACATCAACTTAAATCTACGCATTGTGCCAGCAATTTAATCCTTCCTGATTCTGGAAGCTTTTCTCTTAATGTTATCCGTGGTAGAATCCGGGTGTTTCGTGACTTCTGTCAAAAATAGTTAATTCCTTTATTTTACACTCAAGATTTTAGAGTTCGATTGTTTATGATGCAGCCACACTTAATATATAGATTTGCCTCATAAATCCATCTGATTTTAATTGTTAGCACTGTATATTTATGATAATTTGCAATGCACTTTTAATTCCATGTCGGCCATGTTGCGGACTATTACGTTCGGCCTACGTAGTGAATGCAAGGGAAAGTCAAGGGATAGTTCTTTATCCGATTGCGCATTAAGATGAATTAGCGCATGATAGCTTGTAATTTTAAAAAAATCATTAGTTTGAGGCTGTCACAAAAACAATTTTGGTGCTAGGTTGAGTGCATTTCAGCTCAACATTTCTAGCTATCGCTCTAATCTACTGTACATGTAGCTAAAGTTGTTGAAACTTAATATGATTTCGATATTTTAATAAAGGTTTAGAACTTTTTTCATTTTGCAATGCGTTTCAGCGTGCGTATATCGTTTAGCGTATTTCGTCTAGCGTATATCGTTTTCGTATAGCGTGCGTATAACGTTCGTTCGTATACATGTAGCATGTAACGTGGCGTGCGTTTTTTCCAAAGCGTGCTTTTTGCTTGTAAACTGAAACGTTCACGTACCCTACTGTATGTCGTCCCTTCGTGTTTTCGCATTTTGAGGCGAAGACGCGAAAAATATACGGATGGCGTAAATCAGCCACCATACATAATCCATTCGAGGCGAATTTCTCAAGCATGATCGAAAGGATGTCCGGAAAATGTGTTAATATAAAAACGCTGATATTTCTTGTGTTGATAAAAAATACTGTTTAGATTCTATATGGTTTTGAAGAAAAAAAACTGTTTCTATGTAACTTTTCACGGAAATGACTGTACAATGATTGCGTAAAAACAATAAAATGTCGGCTGCAGAAATCGAAAGGCAGTTTTGTCACGTGACTTTTGCCCATGCTAAACCGAAAAAATACCCCTACCCAAAATCCCCGGGGTTGAGACGCCGGTTTAAATAAATGGCAAATTTTACGGGGAGGTAAGTGGGATCCTTGGGCTACAGCACATGTCTATTTGGAAAAATTATATAAATACCCGTAATTTTTATTTTCTCGTGCGCCATTAATTTCTCGATCCAAAAATTTCTTTTAAATAAACCCCTGGCCCCCGTCCCTAGTATATCGGGTTCCCCCATTTTTTAAGACGTGACCCCCCTGTTTTTTTCGTTTCCCCCAAACCCTTTAAATTTTCTCGTGCCCCACTTTTTAAAAAATTCCAAGACATGGTTTTGTCATGGCCATGACAAGTTTTCGTGGCCCTACTGTATTTTGTTTCCCAAGAAATTAATATTCCGTGGCCCCAGACTTTTTGAACTCGTGGCAACGCATAATTTTTCGTTCCGAAGAGTTATTTATCTCGTGCCTACGACTAGGTAACTCGAGGCTGCGACATAATATCTATTGGCCACGAAATAGTGTCTCCTGCCCACGACGTAATTGTCTCGTTTCCACGACATAGTATCTTGTTCCCACACACAAACTTTCTCGAAGCCACAACATAGTAACGCGTGGCAACGACATGGTATCACGTGCGCAGGAGATAAATAAAAACACACACACATGTTACATTTGTGCCATCGAACGTCAGAGTACGAGGGTTGTTCAAACAGTAATATGACTGCAGTTCTACTGTTCACATTTTTAATAAATGTGCACAATTTTATGAGATTATAATATCGGAAAAAATCATCTATATACAGTGCAAAAATCAAAAAACATTATTGGTTAAAAAATAAACGATCCTGTTGAAAACATACCTCTAATGACAAAAGGGGATGCGCACCCGGCGCCACGCTAACCATTACAAAAATTGACTTTATGGCGCGTCTCCGTAAATAAAAAAAAAATTAACAAGCGTCATTCCTTCTGAAAGTATTCTCCCTATTGCTCTGGGTATCTGAATTTGTAAATTTGACCATACCTCATAAGTGGAGATGAAGAGGGAAAGAAAGCGATCTCATTCTCGCTCCACTGTCCGAAAAAAAAGCCCGATAGCCGGTCACCCTCCGTTTTTTTCTCGTATTCTTATAGTAATCTGGGGTTCCACTGACATGAACTTATGATTATAATTAAAAAGCAATTTATAGTATTAATTTACACAGATCATCGTATATTCTTGATACAATATGATTATGTTAGGAAAATAACAATAATGATCAATCAACTAAGGACGGGCTATCATTCATGAAAAGAAGATCACGGACAATAATATTGATAATTACCATTAATCATTATTATATCTATTTATTAATAGCATATATATCTAGTTAAATGAAATAGAATAGTGTTTGAAGCGAATGTCTCATATTAAATTATTTAGTCAGAACTGAATCAGTAGACCCTATGCAGACATCAAACATGCCAGACTGTTCTATGACTGTATACCGTCAATCTTTTTGTAGCGTTTTTACAATTGACATCACTGACGTCCCGTTAATGCCCTGCTATCATATTCACCCTATCCCGTTTGTTATCTCGTAAATGCCGTTTTGAATTGCTTGTGAAGCTGAAAACGAGTATCCTGAAAGCCGATTAATAGTACTATGTTAATGTAATATTTTCGTGTGTTTATGAAGAAGAATCGCAAATGTTCGATTGCACACAATTTCAGTTTTTTAACGAACGTCAATTTTCTACATTCAACGTTATGACCACTGCGGTTAAAATAATTGATAATGTCGAAATTTCATGTCTGAATGAAGCCAAATCTGGGTAAGATGTCACTTGAAAATAATTAGATGTGTTTGTGGAATATATGGAAAAATAGAAAATGAATTATGAATAGATTAAAAGTACAACTTAGCTTCAATTACTTTGTTGATGTGCTGCGCCGGGTGCGAGTTCACATGGTTATTCAATATCGCAGGAAACACGCGTAAAGCACAAGAATGTACTAAACTTATGCTTAAATTAAAGAAAACGTTTTACAATCGCTGCTAATATAAAAATATTCTTAATTGAATGGAATATGAAGATGCAAGACTTTTAGTCCTTTTACTTTTTGAACAACCATTGTATATGTAATTGTATGCTAATTAAATATTGAAAAATATTTATTTCCAGCTATTTGATTTTATACGTTAATTAATCGATGACATACACATTCAACATACGACTTTTATTTGTCACACAATATTGATTTACATAGATTCAAACTTGAAAACGTACTAAGCAATTTGTTCGTGAAAAATGAAATATTTTAAATATAAAAACATATCAAAGAGCCTTAATATAAATTAAAACCATATAATTAGAAAAAAAGAAACAACAAATAGCAGTGCCTGTAAACAATATTAAATATTATTCCATTAAAACGTGTAGACTTTACAACTTACAATATATTCAATTTAAGGTTTTTCTGCGGATAACGCTGTCTGAAAACCCGGACAATCCTTTACCAGCTTCTACCGAAGTAAGTTTACTCTTTAACATTTACACACTTGTATTACATTATCAGAAAGTTGTTGAGAATGTATTTTAAAACAAAAATTCTACACGCCCGAAAGAAGCTCAATGTTTTTAGTTTATACCACATATTCACTTCTTTACTTCCCAAGTCATACTTTATTAGTAGTATCATTATATTATTGATTTTTTAGCTCACCTTGCACATAGTGCAGGTGAGCTTTTAGAATGGCCAATCAAATGCGTCCGTCGTCCGTCCACATTTTATTCAAACGACATCCTCTATAATACCACTTGGCCAATATTAATGAAACTTGGCAGGAATACTCTTTGTATAAAGCTCTATCAAGATTGTTCAAAGAATGCCATTCCATGCTAAACTCTGGTTGCTATGGCAACTAAAAGAAAAAAAACCTTAAAAGTTCTTATACTTCAAAATGGAAAGGGCTAGAGCTTAGATATTTCTCACAGGGCATAAGCTTGTTGGTGTCTACAAAGTGTCTAGAGTTGAAAATTGATATCTGTTTTGGGGGTTAAAGGGTTTGTTTTATTGCAAAGTTATATAGACTTTCTTTGAAGGGATAAATTGAGATAGTGTATTTTGTATTTTTTTGTCTCAACAGACATTGTTACGAAGATTTTTCTGCTTAAGCATTAGAAAGATGAAACTTTTGTTGAATGTGAATGTTGATTCAAAACAGAGTCAGTCAGAATAGCACAAATTTGAGAGCTACAGTGAAGTTGATTTCTCTATTCAATAATGGATTCTTCCATTAATTTCGTAACACCATCAGAAAGGAGATTGTGTCATTTCCGAAAGACAATGTAAAATATTTCGGTTCTTGACAAAGACTTGCACATTTTATGTGTAAGATATTTTGCACAAAAAAAAAACGAAAGTGAAAAAAATGGTATTTTTTTCACAAGAATTAGTTGATTAAGATAAAAATTTTAATTTACAGTACGGATATTACTTTTTACTGTCTTACCGGGTTGCGGGGAAAAATCAATATTTTCAACATCGTCTACACCGGATCTTACTGATGAACGAATTATGTCGTAATATTTCATTCTGAGAACAAACATACAATTCAAATCATTAAATAATGCATATCATTTAACAACTTTGCCTCAGAAAACATCTGTATCAATCTGACCTCGAGTTGAGATTATAAACAAAACTAAACCGGAAGTAGGACAAAATGGCGGCCTAACCAAGAAAATTGATAAATTTTGTAACAAAAACTCGAATTTCATAACAAAGAAGTGAAGATGAATACAATTATCGATGTGCTTCGTTGAAACAGGTATTTTGTTAACTATTTGAGAAGTATTAAGGCTATTGACCTCAATAAATGTAAGTGGAAATGGAACAATAATTATGGTTATTATCCATGGTGCTAGAAATACTTAATTATCTTTATCATTTTGTTAACTAACCTCACAATAGTTATCAATTTAAACTTGAAAACCTACTCAAAATGACTTCCAAAACATTTGTCAAGATTTAATTTTACAATTAAAACTGTGTATAGAGCCACTCCTGTGAACAGGAAGAAGTTTTTGTTGAAAGGAGTGTTCTAATATGATGAACCACATGCTTGGGGGTTTTATACCCCTGAGTAAACACTATCAAAAAATATATTTTAATATTTAAACACTAATGGGATATCTGTTACAACTATAATACTTGTTTTCGAAAAAAAAAAATTACATTATTATATGCAAAAAAATACTGTTAATACCATCATGTATTGAGACTTGATTCCGGGCAGGCAGGCGAATTGGTTGGGCCATTTTTGGTAAAAGTTTTCTCAGCAACTACTTATCAAAAAGCCTCATGATATTTACTATACAGCATTAATACATTGATCCATACCATTGGATTCGATTTCAGGTCTGTCACTCATCCACTTCATGTTTACTGACTTAGTTAAATTCATAATAATGGTCAATGGTATTTTTCGTAACAATTTTCTCAGCAACTACTAACACAGCCTTTTGATATTTGGTATACATCATTAATATGTAGTCACATACAATGGGATATGATTTTAGGTATGTGGCTCATCCACTTCCCGTTTGCTGACTTAGTTAAATTTTCGGCATAAATTGTAAATGGAAGGAAATTTCGGTAACAGTTTTCTCAGCAACTACACATCACAGCCTCTTGATATTTGGTATTGTGACTGCATTAACATGTGGTCAAAAGTTCAGGTCTATCGCTTATCCACTTCCTGTTTTCCGACTTAGTTTAATGTTTGACATTAATGGTCAACGGTAGGAAATTTTTGTAACATCACAGCCTCATGAGTCGTGTTATTTTGTATACAAATGCAACCCGTCCATTTTTGTCTTTGACCCATTTTTATTGAAGTATTATCAAAATTTGTACTTCGTCTTGTTAATTATGATGTCTTTGTTAAAATGTTTATGATGTAAACACGCTACAGGGGGTGTATTTTTTAGCAACCTGTACGTTAAAGAAAAGAAAAAAGAGGAATTTATATACACTTGTTTGCATTCCTGTTGGTGTTGGCCAAAAATACTTTACATTTGACACTAACCTTTAAATGACATTAAAGAATTTTATAAACCTGTTGCTTGTTTTTAAGATCTATTCCTTAAGGTGAGCGATATAGGGCCATCATGGCCCTCTTGATATGATTATAATTATCATAATTAATATTGAATGTTGTTGTTTTTTTATCTAGGTAAAGGGAAATGATGGTCAGTCAACGTTCATCCGTATCCAGCCCGAAAAAATTGGAGAATTGAATATAACAGTTACAGCCTATATCATGGGTTCTTTCGTCTTTACCATACCAGATCAAATAAGGAAAAGCGTAACAGTACGGGTATGTTGGATTTAGACCAAATTATTTATGTCAAATTTTTCTTCGAATAACCATTAACTACTTAAAAAACTCTAAATCGGTAGAAAAATCACGAATAATTCAATTGGTCAATGTTTTAATGTCTGTTATGTATCAAGTTAATAATGCATTTTGTTTAACCATTTATCATATTTTAATGGCCTGTATTTCCTTACATATATGCTATTCTGTCACATCAAACATGTCTACAATTGAAGGACGTAACCACAGGCTATATTATTGAACAGTTTGAATTAAAAATTCACGCAAACAAAGGTATTACGAGTTCAAATGCTGAAAATGAGGATATGTGCCAGTGTCTTGATACTATTAACATGTATCATCACGCATTTTTTTATAAATGGTAGAAAATGGTGTTTTTTGTTTCATTTGGGTATATATGAATGCGTTCAAAATCTAAATATCTTCTACGTCAACCCCCTTTTGGCTTAAGGATTGTATTTAAGTGTTTAGGCATCAGCATTGCAGCCATCTGTTTATATCGGCGTGATCGTAAGAGCAATCACTGACTTTTTAGAATTCAAGCACGTCTTGGTTCTGTTTCAGCCAAATGGTGTATTCAAAACAACCAATGAGCAACATCTTATTGATGTTACGCCAGAGTCAAGTCAAGTTATAAAACATATCGAGATAGTTCATCCAGATGATATGGTTGATAACTCTAGATTTACTAAAGTCATCATTACCGGTCAGTGTATATGGATGTAATTTTGATCTTATAACACCTTTAAGTTCAATCAGGCGTGCTTATTCATTTAGTTATTTGATGTCGTTGTCTTTGTTTAAACTCATATTAAAAATGATTTATAAAAACATGCATTGAAATGTTATGGCCCAAAATGTTTAAAACGCAGTTAAATATGCCCAAACCATATCAGTCTATGAATTAGGCTAATTTTCATTATTTATGTTCACTTGATTTTATAATACTTTTGATATTCTAGTGATTTACAGGTATGAACATTGTGAAATTGTCACTTAAATGCAATTTATGTGGCAATATTATGCCACATGTTTTTTCCGTGTTATTTCAGGAAATTTCATGGTACCTGTTATAACTGGTTTAGACAATTTAATACAAATGCCTCATGATTGTGGTGAACAAGCTATGATGAGATTTGCCCCAGCAATATTCATCCACGATTATCTAACTACTGTTGGAAAATTGACACCAGAGATAAAAATGAAATCAATGAAAATTCTGAAGACAGGTAACAGTTTGTATGTTTTAATGTTACAATTAACTTTGTATCGTCTAACCTTAGATTCCTACACAATCTACACAATAGGATTGTTATTCACTTTAGCAAGAAACAAGTTTTGCCTTTTATATGCCTGAAAATTATAGATATTGATATTGACTGATATAATGTGCAGATAGCAGGTTTAGGCTTCCTCGAATCAAGGTAAAGTCACACTTACTCTTTCAAAGTCCTTAAAATGTGCATACATAACAAAGGGAAATAACAATGTATGAACTTATTATTAGGTTCCATCCCTATAACTATATAAAATATATATATTTATTTCCCAAAATTTATTACTTTATTAGTAGGAATATTGGAACCACCCACTAGAAAATGCTGAAGAGTTGAAACTAAAAATACCACAAGCACAACAATAATGTCGTGCTGAACGATCTTCAAGGATCGAAAATATGACATCATTGATTAAATGTACGGGGAGACTTTTAACAGCCGCCACACGGCACAAATAACACGGATGTGATCATAAAATAGATAAATACAGAATCCGTAAAGAAAGCCTAACACGGCAAAATTGAAAATGTTGCAGGCTCGGTTTGATAGAGCCTGTTCATGGACGGTACTGGAAAGTGCAAGTTACCGTCAACGCCCCCTAGTCTTGAAAGTCTTGTTTGTATTCAATTGAATAACTTTCCTTGCCAGGTAGGCAACAGTGAAAGCATTTTTTCAAATTAAATATCTGGCCCCTCTTTTTAATTATGGACAGTGCATAAGATGAGTATAATTATGCAAAAAATGGTTTACAAAACATTCGGAAAAAATCTACAATAGTACTTAATCTGAATATAACATGACCTGTGCATAGGAATAATTATGCCCCCACTTCCAAGAAGAGGGGGTATATTGCTTTGCATTTGTCGGTCCGTTGGTCCGTCGACCAAATGGTTTCCGAGTGATGATAACTAAAGAACCCTTAGGCTTAGGAACTTCAAACTTTGTATGGTGATTGGTCATGACCAGTAGATGACCCCTTTTGATTTTGGAGTCAAAGGACAAGGTCACATTGACCGTGGGAAAAAAAACCGTTTCCGATCAATAACTAAAGAACGCTTAGGCCTGAGGAACTTCAAACTTGGTATGGTGATTGGTCATGACCCATAGATGACCCCTATTGATTTTGGGGTCAAGGGGTCAAAGGTCAAGGTCACATTGACCTTGTAGGTAAAAACGGTTTCCGATCAATAACTAAGGAAAGCTTAGGCCTAGGAACTTCAAAGTTGGTATGGTGATTAGTCATGACCAGTAGATGACCCCTATTGATTTTGGGGTCAAAGGTCAAGGTCACATTGACCTTGTAGGTAAAAACGGTTTCTGATCAATAACTAAAGAACCCTTAGGCCTAGGAACTTCAAACTTGGAATGGTGATTGGTCATAACCAGTAGATAACTCCTATTGATTTTGGGGTCAAAGGTCAAGGTCACATTGACCTTGTAGGTAAAACGGTTTCTGATCAATAACTAAAGAACCCTTAGGCATAGGAACTTCAAACTTGGAATAGTGATTGGTCATGACCAGTAGATAAACCCTTTTGATTTTGGGGTCAAAGGTCAAGGTCAATGGTAAAAACGGTTTCCGATCAATAACTAAAGAACGCTTAGGGCTAGGAACTTCAAAATTTGTATGGTGATTAGTCATGACCAGTTGATGACCCCTATTTATTTTGGGGTCAAAGGTCAAGGTCACATTGACCTTGAAGGTAAAAACGGTTTCTGATCAATAACTAAAGAACGCTTAGGCCTAGGAACTTTAAACTTGGTATGGTGATTGGTGACCAGTAGATGACCCCTATTAATTTTGGGGTCAAGGGGTCAAGGGTCAAGGTCACGTTGACCTTGGAGGTAAAAACGGTTTCCGAGCAATAACTTAGAACGCTTAGGCTAAGAAACTTCAAACTTGTATGGTGATTGGTCATGACCAATAGATGACCCCTATTGATTTTGAGGCCAAGGGGTCAAAGGTCAAGGTCACATTGACCTTGTTCGTAAAAACGGTTTCCGATCAATAACAAAAGAAGGCTTAGGCCTTGGAACTTCAAACTTGGAATGGTGATTGGTCATGACCAGAAAGATGACCCCTATTGATTTTTGGGGTCAAGGGGTCAAAGGTCAAGGTCACATTGACATTGTAGCTAAAAACGGTTTCCGATCAATAACTTAAGAACCTTTAGGCGTAGGAACTTCAAACTTGGTACGGTGATTGGTCATGACCTGTAGATGACCCCTATTGATTTTGAGGTCAAGGGGTCAAAGGTCAAGGTCACATTGACCTTGTAAGTTAAAACGGTTTCCGATCAATAACTAAAGAACGCTTAGGCCTGAGGAACTACAAACTTGGTATGGTGATTGGTCATGACCAGTAGATGACCCCTATTGATTTTGGGGTCAAGAGTCACGGTCATATTGACCTTGTAGGTAAAAACGGTTTCCGATCAATAACTTAAGAATGCTTAGGCCTAGGATTTTCAAACTTGGTATGATGATTGGTCATGACCAGCAGATGAACCCTATTGATTTTGGGGTCAAGGGGTCAAAGGTCACATTTACTTGAAGTAAAAATGGTTTCCACTCTAATACCCCCAAGGACGCTTAGGACTAGAAACTTCAAACTTGGTTTGTGATTGGG